AAACAGGAGTAAATCTATAGATGCAGAAAAGAGGAACCGGAAAAAGATTAGCGAGCCCCTGGACGCTGCGTTACAGTCACTTAGAGGTCGTAAAGTATGGACTGTAAATCAGATCCCAAGGGTCACAGGTGTCGGGAGCAAATCTCAACAGGTTGAAGTGGAATTTACGGCCGCGGCCGCGAGGAGAGAGCGGTAGATTTACGTAAAGAGGAGAGGAGAGGAGAGCGGAGATGGCTGTTGAGTTTTGCTCCAGACGGATATTACCACCACCACCACCTCCTCCAGTGGTGTGTGCCCGTCTCCTCCTCCGCCGAGGAGACGGAGGAGGACCAGTCGGACAAACAGACGTTACCTCTGCCACTTTGAGAAACTCTGACAGTTTGGTCATCCTGTTCAGGAACGTCTTGTAGATCTCCAAGGCTTCTTTGCACTGGTTCTTCTTCATGTCGAAATATTTCTCTGCGTATTGAAGAAGAAAAAAAAAACACAATTAGTATAAGAACCAGGTGTAATTAGCAAATTGCAACGGCAGCGATTTAGAGGATATATGTTTGGCAGAATGTCAGACACTGGGCAGGAATGGTCTTAGTTCATGGTTAATCATGTCGTTCTATTGTACTGAACCAAAGAGAATATTGAGTTTTTAAACACAATTAGACTCAGTCATTTGGAAATGGTCCATGTAAATTTGGGTTCTCTGTGCTGCCCTCATTTCACTGCACCAACGTCCAATGACAAAATCCACAAATTTACATAATGACACACGCAGTAGTGATGATCAACCTTACGTTTAACCAAAGGAAAAATAAGGAAATCCAGTCATGTTTTAGCATCTTAGTAAAAAATAAAACCTAATCTCCAATCTCTTTTTTGCTGTAAGGCTGCCCTGCAAATGAACACAAAGCTAAATGGCTAATAATTACACTGTTATGCTAATCACAAATTTATTCTAACGTTGTTGTTTTGGCAGCACAAACGAGCTACGCTAAGTAGCTAATCTGTATGTTGTTGGGCTAGTCAACAATAAATTAACTAACCCTAATTGTTTTGAATTCCCAGCAGCCACTTGTGATAAGTTAAAGGTAACATTTTGGTTACTCAGTGTTTGTTAATACCACAGTTTATTTAAGCTAATTTATGATTAGCTCGTAGCTTATACCTAGCTTGATGGCTAGCAGAGCTAAACAGAGCGCGAAGGATGCATAACCTGCATCTGGCTAGCACAGGTTAGCACAGGTTAGCTCAACTAACAAACCAGAGGCAAAGGTAAGCCCGTGATGCATTCAATGTCCTAAGAAAAAATATTGGAATTTAACAACTAATCATTATTTCTGTGGAATTCTTCCTACTGTTTCCGAGCCACTCGGTCATGACATACATTTTCTGCCTCATAATTAAAATCAGGTCAATTACATAATGAATCGTTTATTCAACTTCACAGCAAAGACTAAGCTAATGGTTTGTTCCTCCTCACTGGTTTAATAATTAACGGCTGACGCTTTCTCTCAGTCTTTAATTGAACTTTGAGAGACAGTAGGAGGAAACAGCTGGACGGAGTGTAGACACTGACTGTTGTTGTTGTTTCACTGCAGCTCTAACAGTGACCGACTCCTGTGTGTTTGTCTTACCCAGCATGTTGATGACGCCTTCGTTGTACGCAGCAAACAACCGTATGGAGTCTTTAAAGAGCAACATGAAAGCCGTGTTGATGATACCGTTGGTCAGCTCGTTGGAGTTGGGCTGGAGGACAGAGGACAGAGGACAGACAGGAGATGAAGGTAAGGTCAGGGGGGGGAACATGATCCAGTCACAGCTACAGTCTGCCTCACGCCGGCGTTGGTTTTGCTAAGTCATGTCTACCTGGAAGTCCAGCAGGGCGTCCAGCTGGTTCTGAATCACAGGCAGGGTCTTAATCAGCTTCTCTGTGTTCATGGTGCGCATCACACCGTCGGCTCTGGTAAACAACACAGGCAAAGGTTTATGTGCAGAGGGAAATATTGGGATTTTAACATAAAATGGCACAGAAATTAAAAAACAAAACACAGGAAATCTGGAGACATCGGACTCTCAACTCCTGCCTCTGAGAGTCAACAGTATCATAAGAATAATATTCTGCCATAATCTTATTATTCTGTCTAATGTTTGGGTGAAAATGTGTGTCTTAAAAGTCTGACTTAATCTGTGCAAACGTCAACTTTATTACTGATACTGATACTACTCATAATTTAATTTAAATAATTTTCCAACAACTGATACTTATTCATAATTTAATTTAAATAATTTTCCAAATGCCAGTACCGGGGAGTAAGTGTTTCCACCGCAGGGACCGGGAAGTCAAATGCAGAACCAGAACCAGTTAGTTTGACTCCCAAATGGTCTTTAGCATAAAAAATAAACTCTGAAGTTGTAAAACTTCTGCCTGTGACTAGAAATAACTGCTGTAACAGTGATGTGACACCGCGGGGACTCGTCGTCGTCGTCTTTGTGTTTCCTGGGAGATTGAGTGGGAGGGAGGAAGCGCTAATGAGAGGACGTGTCTGCGCCTGAAGACTGATGAGCTAGTTAGTGTTAGCTAAGTCAAACATGCCTTTATACTGTGTGTGCAGTTGTGACACAGTGTGTGTGTGTGTGTGTGTGTGTGTGTGTGTGTGTTTCTTACCCTCTCTTCATCTTGGTGAAGTCCACTGCTGCTAGTCTGTAAGACATGGCTTTTTCATTCAGGTAGCGGCTGTAGCGTCTGATGAACGTTGACATGTTGTAACCTGGGGTAGCAGATAGGGGGCACTGCAGTTAGGGACCAATCACATCGACACTTTTCCTCTAAGCCTTGACTTCAGCTTCTGTTTCTGTTTCCGTTGACATTTTGAATTTAATAAATCATAGAATATTATCTAAAATTGAATCAGAACATCTCAGCTCCTCTGTGAACTAAGCACACAAATTAATCCAGTCATTTTATTTATAATTTATACTCAGAGGTTTCTGAACGTGTTCTGCTGCGCTCCACTATTTTGAAGAAATATTTTTTTCCAAAATTAATTTAAAACAGCAAAAAATCCTACTGCTATTCTCATTAAATTTTCCTGCAATTAAATAATTAAATTCAACCTGCCCTTTTGGTGCCCCCCTGTGAGAGCCCGGCCCCCCACTTTGGGCACCGCTGACTCAGATGCTTATGAGCCACTGGTTTTATCCTAAAGAACTCTTTCATATTTTGTTTTCCACGTTCACTGGGATACAGTTACGCCTTTACTTCCATGCGCTGAACTCCACTGACCTTGAGTTAGAGACTATGGAGTTTTTCACTGCTAATGTGAATTCCCTGTCATCTATCATTTATATTATTATCACCTTCTCATGGCGAGAGCAGTGGAGTGAGTGCAGCGTCTCATCAGGGTTTATTGTATTCCGTGACATTAGCTCCTGGAGGCGCGGCGTCTTTTCATCTGTCTGTTATTGTCCGGCGTTGAGACGAGTACAAGACCGTGAACTAAATCCAACTGCAAATACAGTAAAGCAGACTGTCGTCTTCTGCCAACATCGTCCTGCTGACTGGACTTACCAATCACTTAAGAGCCTTTCCATCTCACGGCTGCAGACAGTTTTGAGTTTTACCTCCGTGAACAAAAAAAAAACTAACTGTTGAAAAGCTGCAACAATGCACCATTTCTACCCTCACTTTGTTTCAGAAACCCCAGGGTTGTAGGTGCGACTCCTGCCTTGCTGTCAGTGAATTGATTTGTTTCTAATTATTTACTCACTGACTTTATTCTCCCCCCCCTTTTTTTTTCAATTCCTGCAGCTTTGTGCAAAAAAAAACCCACGTTTCTGTAGCTTTGTAATCACAGACTGTAGTTTAGTTTTTTCTTTTCAAAGAGGTTCATTGATGGAGTCACAGGAGCAGGGAGGAGGGAGAGTGGGGACATAAAGTCATTTTGTTGGATGTGCAGCACTGCTGAGTTTACAAACAGCCCCCGTGGCATTAAATCACCTTGTAATGCAGCCTTATCTAGAAAGTTGTTGAGGTTGAAGAGCGTGTTTCTGGAGGCCAGGTACTGCATCAATCTCTGAAGGAATAAAAAAAGGAGAAAACAGATGAAAGACGTTAGTGACTTATCTGTTCCTGCTCACTGACAATATCAGGGTAATGTCCACGCAGTTACACTGGGTCCAAGTGTGTGTGTGTGTGTTTCCATTTGTGGACAGTCATTGTTGCCAACAGGAAGCATTTTCTTGACGTAAAGTCATCGAACTGATATTTTGACGTTGTTAAAACTGAGCTGGACACAGATGATGTTGGCTTTGAGGCACAACAGCTTTGGGCCCCTGGGTGGGGCTGGCCCCTCGTTTTGGGAACCACTGCTTAAACCCATGATTATCTTCATAGTCGTCACAGCTTTGTTGTTGTCGTACTTTCAGCCCCGGCCTCTGTTTCTCGTTCTTTGACGATGACTATTGGACGATCGTTTCTATACTTATTTTGCGATGACTAGTTTGACTTTATTTACTTTAAAATATTTGGAATAAAACTACGTTATAGTCTTTTTGATTTAAGTTATAAATAACCTCAAATTGATAATGAGATTTTAATGTTTTACACATCACCAAAATACACCAAAACACTGTGAGAGACATTGATTATGGAATAAATGACTAATCACAGTCGTACGTTTACATATCGAACAAATTTCACTAAAAGACTAAAAAACCCCAAATTAAAGTCAATAATTGATTTGTTAATAGTTTGGTAAATGATTATAAAATAAAAGCAAAAATTGAACAACTGAATTTTAATGGTAACAGCAGAGAAGTCTCATGTCGTGGACTCAAATAACCAGCAGTCGGCAGATCATTGTAGGAAACGTGTTGTGCAGCATGGATGGTATTTCACACACGGTGCACATTTCCAAGGTCAGTCAGAAGTGTTTACGCTTTAATATGTCTATTCATCAACCTGATGGATGGACTTTGAAAACATTATGTTAGATGTTGTATTTTTTTTACCATGATAATGCGGTCTCTACAGCCGGTCACATCGAGTTGTCGCCGTGACAGCGATGTCCGAGTCAGCAATGTCCTGCTCTGTTCGCAGCCCCAGCTGCGGGGCTTTTGTTACGACTGCTGGACCACACTGCTCAGTGATGGTGCTCACGACTGAGCGTCTGTGGTGTCTGTACTGTCTGTGGACTGTACACGGGAATTGAATTGGATGTGGCCTATTGGTTTCAATCTAAAGTTTTTTGAGCCTCGAGGTTGTAAAAAAGAAACGACTGCTTCAGGATTTTAAAACAAGCATTTGAGTCTTTGGTTTCAGTCTGTGTCTTCCCATCGTTTCTCTCTTTTTTTTATAAGAATATAACAACAATGTTGAGTACTATTCACTAATATATTCACTAATATATATACTAATAATAAGTGTTTTTTTTTTCTTGAACAAACAACATAAACAGACCTGATTTTCGGCCTCGAGTCACTGAGAATTTATTCATATTTTCGGATAGAAACACTGAGCGTAAATGCCTGTAAAAATGATTGGTCAAACAGTTATCGCTGACTCCAAAATAACCTCCGCTGGTTCTGAATGCGAATGTATCAGTGAACGGTCGTTGGCGGTGGTAGATGAAGAAGATGACTGTTATTGCTGTAATCGATTTTATAACCTCATAAAGTCCGAGGCAGTGGTTTGAGGAGATGGTTTTGTTTGTTTTCGGGTCTCATTAAAAAAAAGCCAGCTATTCCCAAATGACAAACTGTTATTTTCTTCTCGTAATTGTGTTCTGCAAGCGCTTCCAGGGCGCTCCCACTTTGCGGGCGTCCAATCAGCTCACCTCGTTGCCGTACATCATGAGGTGGTGCGTGGTGATGAGCGCTTTGAAAACCACTATCCAGCTGTTGCTGGCCGTCCGCTCCAGCACCGTGTCTGCCAGGTGTGGGATGCTGACGTTCAGCTCATTGGTGCAGTGGATCAGGTCTGGAAGACAGAGGAGAAAAAAAAACACTGGGTGTTGAACAGAGACGATGGTGGTTCGTTGTCTGCCGTCGGCACGTGTTTTAACAGACAGATGTGACGACAGATCAGCTGTAAAGCAGCAGGTTTTAGGTTCAGGAGTTTAACAAAACCATAACGACAAAATACCTTCCACTACAGCTAATGCCTCTGTGCCTGCACATTTTCATTTTTAATTTAATTTTAATTTTAACTTTTAAATTTCATTAATTCATTTCATTTTTTAAGACTATGCTGATTGGAGCTTTATTTTGAAAATATAAAATTTAATTTTCTATTAATAGTCAATGGTTCAACTCTGATTATAGGAATCTTTTTTTTTTAATCTTTGAAGTAGGTCATAGTTTCTTAGAGCATTGATTCCCAAAGACTGGGTTGCGACCCTCAGGTGGGTCGCAACCGTTGTTTTTTGGGTCGTCTCGCATCATGTTTCCCAGGATTTTACAATAATGTTTATTGACTTGGGTCGCGAAGGTTTCTGACTTTTAAAATATGGGTCCCCAGCAAAAAAAAAAAAGTTTTGAGAAACACTGTCTTAGAGCAACTTTTTAGTCGTCATTTATAACCTTAGCGATCTCGCAGCTTCAGCTAATTACGAATCAACGGATGAAATCCAATCGACTGTTGTGTTCATTTTCACCTGCTCGATATCGGCACAACAAATCAATGTGCAAATGATCATTTAATGGCAGCCGCTGTATGGACAGATGAATCAGACCCGGAGATACTGTGTCAAAAAAAAAATCCATTTCCTGGCTGTGGTTCAACAACAACAGCACTTCCTTCCGACTCCAACGCCAATGTGTCAACAAAATACCGACTCACGGGATGGAAAGTTACATTACAAGGTCAAGTCCATTCCAGCAACAATCAACGCGGGGGATGCATAATTTATAAAGCAAATGAAAAGACCGATGTCAAAGAAACAGACTGATGATGAATAATGACTGAGAGTTTTTTTCGTCCAGCCCATCTTTGACGAGCACTGATTGTCTAAAGCTGAGTTGACCCCGACATTTTCCAAGCGTGATTCACGTCTGTGAGTGACAGGAAGTGAAACAAGTTTCCGATAATGAAAGGCTTTGCTTGTGTGCAGAGAGTGAAACTCAAGGATATGGAGAATGTGGTGAATTCTGAAGGTAAAATAGAATAATTAGGTTTGATGATAGTCAGAAGATCAATTTAAAAGTTTTAACTCGGTTTAACAGACTCGACATTAGGTGTATTTCAGCTGCGGATCGTAAAACAACATCCTTAACCGGGGTCATTCAGTTAGAATATGAATATTTTCTATGGTCTGTAAACAGGAAGTACTTACACAATATGAATATATTGAAAAACATTCAGTGTTTTTTAAAACGTAACCCCTTCCCCACGATGGCTGTTTTGTTGTTTTTCTCGCGTCGGCAGAACACGTTATACGTACATATACAATCATTTTGTCGCCATCTACAGGCTCGTCTCAGACCAGTCTTAATGAGATCAGTAGGATATTAAAATAAAAAAAAGTCATGTTTGGAAATTAAAAGATTAATCACGATTATTTGTCAGCTATCCTGTGATTAATCAGATTCATTTTTTAAAGTGTTTGACAGAGCTCGTCTTATATATAGCACAGCGACACATTCTGCAGATAAAGACATTGGTTTGGAGGGAGAAATTTTTTTTTTCATTTCATCTAAAGGTCAGCTGATGATTTCCAACCATAATTATAACTTTCTGCCTTCAGAGTGACGCGGTAATGGATAACAATCACCTCTAGGCACACGAGTGATGCATTGTGGGTTGAACGTTGCTAGGCATTTGAGCGCAGTTGCATTCCTGGTCTACCATAACTGTAATATTCTCTTTACTCTCACTTTGATCTTCGCGTGGTCCATGAGCCACTGTTTGAATTTGCAGACCCTAAACTCTGAAGTTTTACTTATCTTTAAAAATCTTTTAAAAAATAGATTTTTCCAAAGTTTTTGCCGATATGGGAATTACATTTATCTCAGTTTACTGCTCAAAAAAAAATAGATTTAAAAATGAAATATTCATAACACCTTCATCTAAACAGATATTATTTAAAGACCAACACCGGTAAAAAAAGATATCAGTTTAAATTCCTCCTCTCGTTACCTTCAGGGGTCAACACAGCGCCTCCATCTGACTCCCTGTCTCCACCGCTCTACTGTCACACCGACCGTTTTCATGTTCTCCTTCATTACAGCCATGACTTTTCTCAGGGCCGTCTCTGGTTTCCCTCTCGTTCCTAGCATTAAAGTCCCATCCGTCTCTTTTACGTCCGCGGTCTGTCCTCAGTTTAGTTCATCTAAATCTCTTGACACTCTGACTCCATATCCAAACTGCTTAACCTTATCAGTGCCTCTGATCTGCTCATCTCTATTTCTGCTTATCGTAGTCACTCAGTAAAAAATCTCAGCGTCTTCATCTCTGCCACCGCTGGTCTAACCCTCACTTATTTTTTTTTTTTAACCTGGGAGCTGGACTTCTTATGAACCTAACTTAATTTTATTTTGAAAATACTGTCCGTTATTAAAGATGCAAAATAATAATAATAATAATTATTATTGTCATAATTATCATCATCATAAATAATAAAACTGTTAGGTATAATGTGGCAACATTTTTATTATAGGCTTTGTAATAAATTAATCATAATTAATTTCATTTTACCAAAAAACTATATTTGACACAATAAGCAAAGTCTTTTTTTATATATTTAAAAAAATTTTTTTTTGATGTCTGACTCAGTGACTCAACCTTGAAACCTTTGCAGTTGCACCACTTCAGCCAATAGGAACACAGCTAACTGCCCCCCGCCTGCATCAGCGCTGACTGACCACCTCACCCTGTCTTCACCTCTTTTGTGCCCTGTCTGTTGCTATGGATGGTTTGACTGCAGATATTTAAATTTATCCACTCGCATAATGTAAAACTCAGGCGTAGCATAATCTGCATGGCAAAAAAAAAAAAAACCCTTTGAGCAAAATGTCCCAAAATGTAGCAGATGAGATTAAAGAGAAAAATCCACCAACAAAGAAAAACTTGTATTAAAAACTTTCTTCCCGAGTCAAATCCGAGGCTCAGGATCAGAGGTTATCAGGGTTTATTTGAAAAGCTGTGTCAGGTTTTTTTTTTTTTTTTTTTCTGAACCCAGTGCATCAGAGAGTCTCGGCTGATACCACGACTTAATATTACGTGAATGTCAAATGCATCTGAAACCGACAGCAGCAATTCCGCCGTGTGAACGCTTCCATTTCTGTTATTTTTTCAATTAAAACCTGGGGAATAATCACACAGTTACCGTTAACAGTGTCTGAGGTCGTGACACCGATTTAAAACGGACTGTTTGAATGTAAAATCTCAATGTTTAACATGTAAAAAAGTGGTTAAAAATATATTTTTAAAACTTTTACTGGAACATACTTTACATGTGCAATATATCTTGCAGTAGTGAATTAAATACATGTAGTTGTCTGGTATTATATAAGTAAATTTTTACACTATATGGTGAATACCACACAATGGAATTATATTACATTTTATTATTTTTTTTATTTTAATTGCTCATGATCTACTTGCAGTTCCTTTGTGATCCACTAGTAGATTGCGATTGTGATTAATTCTTGTGGCGGGCTAAACACTTCTAAGGCCCGTTTCTAGCATAGTAGATTTGGAGCAAAAATATTTAGTGTCAGTTAATATTTTAACTCCACCCCGTTTGATGTGGCCCACTTTTTTTTTTAAAAAAAAGGGCTACATTCTTCTGGCCTTTTTCTTTGTCTGTTTAGCTGCGTCTGAGTTCACAGATGAAGTTGTCAACAGTTAGCTGATTGAATCTTTGGCTTCTGCTGTCGGACACCGTTGACAGTGGGAAGGTTGAATTAACTGACAGCTGTGTGAATGTGTAGGTAAATGTGTTACTGCTCAGACTGGGCTTCTATATAAATGGACTCAACCCACAAAAAATGGTGTGGGTTTTTTTTTTTTTTTTTTGAATTCC